TTACAGTGTCAACAAAAATGCGTCTCCGCGGCCAGGAATCGAACCCTGGCTTTCAGCGTGGGAAGCAAGCGCGATAACCGTTAGGCCACGCGCGCGCTGCCTGCTTGGCCAGCTGCGCGCGCGGCACTATGCAGAAATGCGGGCCCCATCAATGTTTCTAGGTCACTTCGTGGTAAAGTTACTGAGCTTCCTATCATGCCAATGCATCGGAAGTGGCCCGAGAAACATCACTGAGCCCTCATTTCGATGCGAGCGCTTCGTGCAGCTGGTGGGCCATTAAGAACGCCATTAGTGTTCCCAGGTATAGTTCCACTCTGGAAAATGTTCTGTCTTGGTCATTGGGTAAGTGAAACTAACGGTTTATTCAGGGTGTTAGGGATTATATATGTGAGGAATGATTCAGGGCGACATCTCTCTTGGCCTGTGCCGCAGCGAGTGTACATGGCATGGTTCGTGCATTTTTTAGAGCACAGCTCTTAGGCGCCCGTTTCCGGCTTGAGCGGCGTCGCCGCCGGCGTAACCGCGCGGTGCATTGCGGGTAAATTTCCCCGCTAAATTTAGCGGAAACTTTTTCCCGCTATATCTAGCGAAAAATTTTCCCGCTAAATTTAGCGGAAAAATTTTCCCCTAACTTAGCGGGAAAATTTCCCCGCTAAATATAGCGGAAAAATTTATCCGGCTAATCTAGCGGAAAAATTTCCCCGCTAAATTTAGCGGAAAAATTTCCGTGCTAAATGTAGCGGAAAAATTTCTCGGGGGGGGGGGGGGGTCACTGACTCCCTGAGGTCACGTGATCCCCACGTGACCCCCCCGAGGTCACGTGACCCCTCCCCCAAATCACGTGCCCCCCCCACCCCCCGAGGTGGAGGATGAAGGGAGGAGGAGTAGCAGGCAAGGTCACGAGGGAGGAGAATGGGGAGGGGTATACCCTCCGTTCAGTACCCTTCCCTCCTCCTCCTCAAGAGCTGCGCTCCAATTCGGCGTTAAAGGGAGTTGTAAACTCCTTCCATATTTGTTTGGTGCATCGCGGTGCTGCAGCCAGCGGTCGCTTGTAGATGCAGCCTCGCGACAGTTCCCTGGTCTCTAGCAGTTGCAGCGAATGCGGCCATGTTAGGTGCCTTCTCACACCCCTCACAGGGATCCCAGTACAGGCCCAAGAGATGAACCGCATTAGGTACGGAGCTGCTAGAACTGGGAAGAGCCAGCATTGCTGCCATTGCATCACCAGTCGGATGAGGTGCTTGTGCCCAACAGAGGGCTCGCGCCAAGAAATTTCTTGTCCCAAACTCGGAGTCCGAGTTGCGCAACTGTACCATGAAGTGCTTGTATTTATGTTAGGTCCTATCCTTTATTTCACGCAAATATGTAAAGACAAACGATGACTCTAGACAAAAATTACAATTAAAAATAAAAAACTGGTTCACGGGTGCCGTGACATTTGCACTTCACCAAAGTCAGCTAACTATAAATTTGTTTTTTCTTCATCATAAAGAGGAACATTCAATTTTCACAAGCCCATGAGAAGTGAAAACAACTTCCTTGGTTTCAGTTGTGCTCGTATTGCAATTTCAAACAACAATGCATCTTGTTCACTTAAATGTCTGGGTTTTAGGTTACATATTGTAGATAGTTTCATTGTTCTCACATGGTGAAGAAATGTCATAAAATATGCTAGATTGTAGGACTGAAATGCATGCACTCCGAGTAACATATCATCTACCCATCCAGGGACTTTGGCTGACTTGGTAGAAAGGCTGAAGAAGAGAAGGATAGCCCTTCCAAGCGTCGTTGAGGGACATGTTGACCCTGACGAGGTCACTGGAGTATGCCAGACAGAAGTATGTATAGAAACTCCGAAGTCTATAAAAATTAATGTCTAGTAGTTCTTGGACTGACTCAGTTTAGAAAAAGCCGATGAGTTTCTGACTAAAACAATACTTCTATCTGGTTTAAACTAATTTAAACATATATATTAAGAACTCAATAAATGCGTACTTACCCTGCTTACCATGTATCTCATAGAGGTGGCTAATAAAGTGGCAAATTTATTTCTGCGCATTTAACCCTTTATTGACAAGACATAAAAAAATTGCTGAAAACATTTGTTTTTTAGAGATATTATATTTAACAAAATCAACGAATAGAGTTGAAATTAAAAAAAAGAGAAAAACCATAAGGTAAATTTGCAAGTTATACACGAACTGAACTCTGTGACGTCACGGCGCGGTGGTGTCAATCGCACTTCCGGTCTCGGGCTGTGGGCAGAAGTCCCCATGCCGGACGTGTATTCCTGCGTTGTTTTGAAAGGAATCAGACAAAAACCTGACTTCTGGTCAAAACGCCGCGACTGGCGCCGTACCAAAAGTGTCGAGGAAGGTTTCAAGGTCAGTTTTCACGTGCTCGGTTCGTCCGAGAATCTTGATATGTGCCGTGAAAAGGGAAAAGCAGACGCCGTCGGACAACGATTGCTTGGGCGGGAAACACTTTGGGTTGAATTCACGAATACTTGTTGTTATCAGATTTATTTGTTTTGTTCCAACATGAACGCCAGAAATCCGTCAAGTTGTGCAGACCACCTGCGGACTACGTTCAGTGCGTCTTCAAGTTCAAACGGCCGCCTGATCGTTCGAACTGTCGTCTGCTCTTTCATACGTTTCTGCTTCTCGTCTGCTCTCTTAGACGACGCGGACCCGTAGACCAAATGGTGGCCCGGTACTTGCGATAAGAAATAAGTGCAGGCCCCAACAGTATTAAATTTGAAGGTTGGTAAGCAGGCTCGATGTAAACAGCAGATAGAAGATGTTGATCATTGTTACCAGTGACCATCACCGACTTCTTATGCCTAAATCACTTGGTCCGATTCTGCTTGCGATTTTCAGTATCGACGTCGACCATCTTCTGCAGCCCGAGCGGCGTCGCAACTGAAAATTGCGAGTGAAATCTCATCATGCGAATCAGGCTTTAGCGTACATACTGCGGCGTCCACGCGTAATAAATCGCCACATGTCACATTATTCACGCGAAGTTTTGCGGTGTAACGAGCCTCGGTAATTTCGCTGGTGCCACTCAAGATAGTCAGAAATCGCAGGGAAGACGTAGAATCAACAATTGGAACGCGAAAAAGGGCAGGGGGACTCTCGCCGACGCCGACAACATCGCATTTCAATGGTTTGTTTATAGGCGACGGCGAGCTTCTTGCCCACACCCCCATCGCGCATGTGCGGCGCCAGTGGCGTCCGCTTTGGGCGCTCCGGTTTGTTTGTAAACATGAGTTGGTGTATAGCTTTGTTGCATGTGGGAAACACCAGGCGAATGTCCGAAGGTGGCTTTCTCTGCGCATACGATAGACTCAAGTAGAACAATCACACACTGCAAAATATTCCCTTACCCATATTTTTCGAAGTATTTGCGTACCTTTTCACCAGATGACTCTCTAGTTTCAATCTTTAAGACTGTTGCCAGACCACTAAATACAAAAAAGGTAATAATACCGAATATTTTACACACACAAGAAAATGGGTTGTTGCCTGTAGGCAGCATTCGTCAACGAAGGGTTAATACAGTGCAATCTCGTTAATTTGAATCTGAGGGGTACCAAAACTTCGAATAATGCAAAGTTTTGAATTATCGGGAGTTTCCTTCCTAGAAACACAAAGGACGGGACCTGTATGTTAGTTTGAATTATCCGCGAGTTTGAATTAACAGAATTTGAATTAATGAGATTCTGCTGTAGCTTTTTGCAGGTAGTTCAGCCAGCCTTCCATAAAGCACCCCATAGACCCAGCTGCTGCATGTTGTTTTTATATATTATTTATTATGCGCTGCAGGTGAATTGTGCAAAATGTAAGAGAAGCATGAAAAAAATCCTAAAGCTTTTTATTTTTTCATATTTTGATATTTCAGCTTTCAGTCAAAAGAAAAACAAAAAAAAAAACTGTGGTGGCCTCAAACACGCGGGGAAACATGCTGGGAGTCGCCTCAAAAGAGCCAGAAGCAGAAGTCCTCGAAAGAAAGGTCTGGTGCCACGTGCATGCTTGCTACAAGAACAAGAAAAATCTAGAGGACTAGAATTGAAAATCGCCATGCTAAACACAAAAATGAAAGAGTCTCAAATGCTGAACCGAAGGCTACAAGACGTTTTGATCTGCAAACCGGGTAATTTATTAAACTGAACTATGACCTCCTTCATAGTTAGCATAGTTAATTTTATTTCAATAAGCCAGAGTTACAATTAGAAAGGTTGCAAATGGAAAGTCAATAGTGCTTTGAGACAGTTGTGTATCTGTTGGACAGCCATTTCTGTGCCTCATCAGACTAGAGGGTTTACAGCATGAGAGGTCACAATCGCTTGTTTTATGTAACACTTTTAGGTTATATCTGTGGCAAAAAACTGAGGGAGAGGAAGTGATGAGAGAGCACTAGGATGCTACAGCTCCGAGCGAGCTCTTTTAAAAATGATAGTGAGTAGCAGTGGCGCCACAAGGGTCACCCGAGGCAGTAGGCTGCCGCGACCCTCCCCCGCTCCCCCCCCCCCCCCCCCCCTCCCCGCTCTCCTGGCCTGCTGCGGCACCACCCCCCTTTCACTGCCCAGCTGCACCCCCCTGAGCGCTGCATCGGGGCGGCCTGCCCCGATGCAGCGTGAGTCACTGCAAGGAGGCAGTGAGTAGAACCAAAACTTTATTCTACTCAATATTGTTCCAATGAGAGTTCAGCACTGTGATGTTCCCATGCGCTCTAACCTCCTCCTCTTCCTCAGCTTCTCACCAACTTGGTTATTTAAGTAACAAACACACATTCCTATGTACTACTCTCATTCTTTATGTTCCTAATTAATATCTCTATATTCTTCAGAGGCATCACTATAAGATGCCAGTGATGAGACTGATATAACAAAAAGGAGGTGCAGGGATGTAAGTACTGTTATGCTTATGAAGTGTTACCTTGTTTTAACACACCAATGTTCCGTACTTGCAGGCTGCGCTTCCTGCAGTGCAGGGGCTGCCGCCAGCCACAAGTGCTGGTTGCCGGGTAAGGAACTTTACCAGTCTTCTAGCGGAATAGCTGTCTGTGTACGAATATTGTCTCTGTCTCACGATTCAATGTGCTGCCCCGCAGACGTTCATGACTGTATATATGCTGGCTCTGCTGGGACAAACAGAGTGTTTCTGGGCTCTGGGGCAATCATTAGCGTCACTTCTTGAAAGACTCCTTTTGACCCTGTTTTGAACGCAATGACGTTCCGTGCTTGCAGGCCGCGCTTCCCGCAGTGGAGGGGCCGCAGCCATCCTTGAATGCTGGCAGCCGGGTGAGGAACCTTCCTAGTCTTCTAGCGGAACAACTGTCTTTATGTCCGAACATTCTCTCTGTCCCACGATTCAATGTGCTGCCCCACAGACTTTCATGATTGTATATATGCTGGCTCTGCTGGGACAAACAGACTGTTTCTGGGCTCGCGGGGGCAATCATTACCGTCACTTCTTGAAAGACTCCTTTTGACCCTGTTTTGAACGCAGTGACGTTCCGTGCTTGCAGGCCGCGCTTCCCGCAGTGGAGGGGCCGCTGCCATCCTTGAATGCTGGCAGCCGGGTGAGGAACCTTCCCAGTCTTCTAGCGGAACAACTGTCTTTATGTCCAAAGATTCTCTCTGTCTCACAGTTCAATGTGCTGCCCCGCAGACTTTCATGACTCTATATATGCTGGCTCTGCTGGGACAAACAGACTGTTTCTTGGCTCAGGAGGCAATCAATACCGTCACTTCTTGAAAGACTCCTTTTGACCCCGTTTTGAACGCAATGACATTCCGTGCTTGCAGGCCGCGTTTCCCGCAATGGAGTGGCCCCTGCCATCCACTAGTGCTGGTAGGCGGGAAAGGAACTTTACCAGTCTTCTAGCGGAATAACTGTCTTTGTGTCTGATTAACATTGTCTCTGTCTCGCGATTCAGTGTGCTTCCCCATAGACTGCCATGACTGTATATACGCCTACTGTGCTGGGAGGAACAGTCTTTCTAGACTCTCGAGCATTCCACATTGTTTCTATTAAACTTCCAATTAGAAGTATGCCCAATGTGAACATCTCTCTCCGACACGTCCATTGTTTTTTTTTTGTTTTTTTTTGTACTTTAATTCTTTCAGATATTAGTTTTATGTTTATTATGTGCTTATGTTATGCACTTGCATTCCTTTTTTATGCAGGCTGTCCAAATGGAATGTTCAGCGGTAACATTGATGGCTGGCGCTCGAAGATGCCTTTTTGGAGTTTACGTTTTAATAATCTTTATTTTGATGTGTCTGCAAACAGCATGAAGCCTAAGGACTGCCATGGAAAGAGAAAAAAAACACTTACAAAGCAGGAGAAAAGACAAGCAAATTCACAATCATGCACACAATATACTTCGTTCACCCCTAAGCAAAAGACTGCGGTATGAGTTACGTGCCCGCCGGATCAATCAGCTGCCTCCCTCTTTTAACCTGACCCGGCTTTTTACGCCTGGGTATGGGCGGGAGCATGATGACATGGCAAAAGAAAGGCGTATGACTGGTTCATTGAGGACAGCTTCAACTGCAGTCTCAGCGTAAGCCTGAAAAGAGTATAGTGGTTCGATTACTCATCAAAAAGTTGTCATGTCACAAAAAATATCTATCTTTATAAATGATTGCCTCCAGTTTACTAAATTTTTCAAAGATCACATATTGTGTCATATAGTTGTTGACATGAAAGACAAAATAGTCTTGTATGCGCATAAAAATAAATGAATGTACTTGCAATTGCACATAGTGGGCTTGAACCCCTTTACTTTGGTCGCAATCATTGTAACCTGCAGTATTCTTGGTGCTCGAGTGGGTCTAAGGGGCATCAACAATAGCCATGGCTACTCTTTTCAGCCTTCCAATGACTGCCTTTTTGGGGTCCGCGCTAACCATTTATTTTCTGGAATTTCACCTTGAGGCCCGTTCTGACACTGATCTTGAGCGACCGCAGCATACCCTTGATCCCGCCCCGAGCCGCACGCTTTGCCCAGCATCCTATGCAGATCTTGTCAACACCATATTCTCAACCCTATGTATGTCTGCCACACCCTAGGGCATAAGTGACAGTAGGAAAGTATTTACCCATTGCTTTTCGGGTGTGGAGCTCGCACAAACTAACTTAGCAGAACGGAACGTTCACGAAGCCCAATGCATTTAGAAACCCGAATGCAATTTCGCAACGGCTATCATCACATGAATGGAACGTGACCAGGGATGATTTAAAAACCATGAGGACTGCTTTCTGAACCTTTACTCCCGTAATCTTTCCGATTTGTGCTTCAAAATATGGTGAAAAGCAAGAGTAGAGGTGCAAGCATGCCAGAGTTGCATAAAGACGCCGAGCAGAGCATGCGCTACACCCCTGACGCGTTTGGAGCACCTGGAATGTTATACACGCATTCATACTATGCACACAAAAAAAATTGTATACATTTTTTGGTGTAATTTGAGATAAACTTTGTGTATAGGTACAATCAGTGCTCCATGCCACTGACACACTTTTAATGTGCACCCTAACCCACCATTGACAAGCCACCGATGGTGCCATGTCACAGTGCCGTTGGCACTATGTCGGCGGCTTCTTGAACATAAGAACCGGCAATGCAAACCCTCATAGCAAGAAATTATTACATCTGTTTCTTTGGTTGTTCGGCGGGACCAACGTTTCTGAACGTAAAAGCTGAGAATGTAAAAACTGGAAATGTACCTTTTGGGTTCCGCTTTACGGGCTTACAACAGTTGATCAAATCCCATTTCATCGAAGCACGGCTTAGAGAACGGGCTCGTTTTATCGAAGCACGGTTTAGAGAAAGAAGAGACTCAGTTTAATGAAACGCCGTTTATCGAAAAGGGAACAATATTTAAAGGGCAACTCCACTCCATTTTTACAATTTTTGGGTTATGATCTGTTTAGTCGAAGCCGGCGACCCTGAATCACGAGATATAATTTGTTTTTCGGTAGTGTGTATAGTCTTGTAGATATCGCGAATGCAAGAATCGGTCCGGCGGCACGGCGAAACCGAAACTACCGGTTGAAGCAGCTTGGCAACACTGATACTAGTGGCACGTCGTCGGTATGACCTAGTTCTAGTCCCGCGCTTTTGAGCCGACGCGCCGACAAGGTCATCTCAGTCCCACGTGGAGTTTCAAAACAGAAGGTTAGATGCACATTTTCTTTTTTTACCGCTTCACTTTGTTAATATGTACCAAATGTAGTAATTTTTAGTGTGTATTTATAAATTTGCCGGCCGAAAAGCGAATCCGGCTGCTATAAATATGACGCGGCCGGTGCCGGCGCAGCGTGACTGTAAAAAAGTACGAGCTCAGAGCCCAGCGTCGATCGGGACTTTCGTAAAAAGAAGCTCCGGTAACACTTCGGCAACTCGTGAGCGTTAAAGGGCAATTCCACTGCATTTTTACAATTTTTGAGTTATGATCTATTTAGTCGCAGTCAGCGACCCTGAATCTCGAGATATAATTTGTTCTTCGGTAGTGTGTATAGTTTTGTAGATATCGCGAATCCAAGTATAGTTACGGCGGCACGGCGAAATCGAAACTACCGGCTGAAGCAGCTTGATACTAGTGGCGTGTCGTCGGCATGACCTAGGTTTGGTCCCGCGCTCCCGAGCCGACGCACCGACAATGTCGGCTCAGTCGCACGTGGAGTTTCGAAACAGAAGGCCAGTTGTACATTTTCTTTTTTACCGCTTCACATTGTTAATATGCACCAAATGTAGTAAGTTTTAATGTGCATTTATAAATTTGCCGGCCAAAAAGCGAATCCGACTGCTATAAATATGACGCGGTCAGTGCCGGCGCAGCGTGACTGTATATGTTTCTTGCTCGCTGACCGAGAGAAAAAGGGATAATGGGAGATATTGGGAAATGTGTGTCCACAAGCGGTCTAAGTTGCTAAGCTAAGGTGCCTTTATATGCACGCTAGTTAGAACAGCCGCGACCTTCTGCGTCCGGCCAATCGTGCTGGAGCAGCCGGCGGAAAGTACGCGAACAGCGACGGCACCGCATCGTTCTTCAAAGACGCGTGTTTCATGGAAAAACCCGCAACGGTCAGCAGCCGCAGATCCCGTATGTAGGTGTCTGACGTAAAGTGCTGAGAGCAGAGCTTCGCGTTGGAGCTCGGAGTCGACGGTCTTCCGAAGTCTATCCGGCGAGCGGCACCGACCCACACCTTGTGCCTCTTCCGGTCTCTTGGGAAGTTGTGGAACCGCAGCTCCGGGTTGCGCACCGGATTGTTGGTGCAACGCACAGCACTACAAGTCGTGCTCGACATTGCCCAACGCGAGTCCGGCGAGTCTGTCCGGCTGCACGACACGCGCGTGAGCGAGCAGCACCGCTTCGGTCTCTTCCGCGCTGTTGCGAAAGCAATGCTGGAGTTAAATTAACTGCCTGGACGCTAATAAAAATAGGAGAACACAGGATAATGTGGTAAACACCTCGTGCCGTCAGCAGAATCGCAGAATGCCACGGGAAACGAAGCGTTCGCGGCGTCCGTACAAGAGCGTAGGACTAGACCTACGTCATTGCCCAGTGTTGCTTCACTAGCTCACCCGGTGCCAGCGTTGCTCACCCGCTTTCGCGCCGCTAACCGAGCCGGGAGAACATTTTTAATATTGGTTTTAATCGATAACGCGGCGTCGGTTTGACGTGATATTTTGAGTATGACCGTATTTTGACCTCCTAAAGCGATATCAGTAATTTCGAAAGGGTCTACTTTTTCAGTGGAGTTGCCCTTTAAAAAAAGGCTTTCCTACTTCGGGCGTGTATCACTGGTGCGCGTGTTAACCCAAGCCCCTTGCTGCCCTCCCGCCGGTTCGCGGCGGCAGTCTACGGCGGCTCATTACAAAGATGTTAACTCACCAGATTTACCCGTACACGCCGCTGCGCGGCGGCCGAATTCGTTAAAAGGATGTTCATCGCCATTTTCTCAAAAACTGGGTTCTCTATAAAAGGATTAGTAAAGCGGCGTTCGCTAAAACGAGCTTCTCTAAAGCGCATGCCTCCGCCACTTTACAACTGAAGTTGTATTTCCTGCCTCTAGTAGGGATGGTATTTATCTATATAAGTATTTATTTCCTCCCTCGGCGCCCGAAGTCCTTACAGAGGGGAATTGACAAAACGCACCCAAATCACATACACAGAGATAATAGGCAGGTGAATGTAAAACAAACAAAGAACCTAAATACATACACAAAGCTATTTAGAGGCAGGTAAACTTAACGAAAAAACTGTTAATCCGATTACAAAACACACTCATAAATGGCATTATTAAATTTGGCGCTTTCGATTATGTCGGCAATACATGAGGGAAGGCCATTCCAATCTAGAGATGTCGTGGGTATAAAAGACTGATTAAAACTTAATCAGTGACAGCGGGGGATGCCTACTTTATTTCGGTGATCGACACGTGATGAGAGATAAAGTGGTTGAGTTAAGATATGCTGACATAATATAGGGTTATGGTGGTAGACGTTATGAAATAAGCAAAGCCTTGATACCTTTCTGAAAAAGGAGAGGTCAGACAGGCCTAAAGTTATTTTTATAGCTGTCACGATCTATGTGCGATGATAGTTATGTAGTATAAAGCGAAAGGAACGGTGCTGTACGGCTTCTAGAGATAATGCAAGAGTTTTAGCAGGATTCCAGATAGAGGCTTCGTATTCCAGCTTACTGTGAACGTACGTATTTATAAAAGAGCAGTTTTAAGGACAGCAGTGCAACAGAGAAGTTTCTTTTGACGAAGCCGAACATGTGGTTACAGCATTAATTACATATTCAGTATGAGTGTTCCACGTTAGGGTCTTAGTTATATGTACGCCAAGGTGTTTAGCTTCCAATGTAACAATCCAAAGCATAAAATTTTTGATTTCCACTGTTGTAGAGGTGTCGAAAAATGGGGCTCGCAGGTTTATTGAAGTGAACCCCTACATCTAACATTAGAAATTTGCTGTTTGTAAAGTTTGGACTGCTTCCAGGAGGATCCTTTGTCAGCTCCACAAAGTGCCCCCTCTGCTGCGCTCCGATCTGTTAGCCAGACTCCTAGCCCCAGTGAAGGCTAGCACATGGAACACTTCTCGGAAGCTGTGGACGAGCCTTCAGTGGAGAACATGGAGCAGGCTGCAGATCCAAAGGATTCGCCCCTTTATGATGATGGCCTACCTGCACTAAAGGACCTGGCTGTGGTGCAGCCGTATCCGGCACTTTTCGAGCAAGGTGGTGACGAGGTATGGCTGTTTTTTATTCACATTTGTTTTTATGTAAATTTTTTGTTGAGACGCATACATACATTTTGGTACTATGAGAGCTAGTAACGAGGGATAAAAAGAAGACATTACTTGCAGCTTAAGAAACTCAGGGTGTGGCTTGAGTACTCCAATATCGCTCTGCAGCCAATGAGGTTGCAACAAGAACTGATTACCCCTGCAATTTATAAGCTCTCAAGAAGACGTCATCTGGCCTGTCATTATTCATTGTGTACCACAAATCACAAGAAGTCCCTATTGGCTTTACCATGATTAATCAGTTTGAGCCAATAGGGCCACAACTTGTGGGCAACCTCGTAGCACAGAAAAACCGACCAGGTTGACCATACGTCAATCATCCTTGGTTACCTCCCCCGTGATGTGGCCAAGTGCAATCTGCCATTCCAGAGGTGCTTTGTCGTGTATCTAAAGCTGGTACAAAGCATACGCAAAGGAGCAAAAGGTTCCAGCACTCAACAGTAAGTGTCAATATATGACTGCTTCCCATTGAACCAGCACAGTGTGCCGTTCTCCGAGGCAAGCAGCTGCGAGAGAAAGCCAACATATTGACTAATGATATGTGGCATGCTTCATTCGGACTTTTTTTCTGGGGGATATTAAAAGTAATCTGTAAATGTTGTTACTTCTGCAGGTTTACCTTGGTGAGGGCGTGTTTGCCTCAACTCAAATGCTGGCAGACAGAGAGGGACTGCAAGAGCGACTCCTTGTTCGTGATGGAAGTGACGACGGGGTTGTTTGGCACCCCCAACCTTCGAGATAGTAGCCTCACCGGGGAACCCTGCATGGGATATGTGAAGCAGAGTGCAGTCGAACGCCAGGCACTCACGCCCGTAAAGGTCAGGGCTGTCGAAAGTGAGTTTTGGTTTTCCATAGATATATGTTGATTAACATTCTTAGGATACATGAAGGATGCACATGCTCCCACCCTGCCATACTGTACTAGCAGTATGGCGAATTGAGCACTAAAGTGAACTGTACGAGCATGAGCTTATGGCTTTAGGAACGCAAGCATTTAGTGCCAGAATCTTGTGCTTCCTGTTGACTTTATGAGGAGAGAAGTAAAGGGACGAGTTGCTTAACGTAAAGCATTGGCATTTGTGAACCTTGACAGTTAGCTGCTAAAAGGAACAGATTTTTTGTTTAAAGCCAATGTTGAGGAACTGCTGGAGTACTCTAGCCAGAAATATTATAGACGGACAGGTGCCCGGTACTCACAACCTGTGAGATGAAATAGTGTGGTGATCTCCACCACACTGAGGTTTGGTTCCTGCTGTGTTTCGGCGTTATGCTTATAGTTTTGCCTTTGTTCCTTCTGACAGTGTAGTGGTTTGAACAGCATGCTATGGCTGATCTTCATGTGTAAACAGCATGCTAATTGGTTTCTCAGCATCTGTCTCAAAAGTTACATGTGTAGAAGAATCATGAAATTCACAAACTAGATTACCAGTTATGACACTCTCCTTCAATTAAAATGAAGCATTCAGCAGTGTCCACATTACTGGGAGCAATGTAATTCAAGTTGCTGTGCTTGAAACAAATAAGCACAAATCAGGTTATTTCCTCATTAATGCCAGGATTTGAGAGTTTCTGGCCTACATTTGTCTAGTATAAACAAAAATATGTGCTTAATGGACTGCAGGGATGATTACCAAACTAAAAGTTGCTGTTCATGAATGAAATAATTTTTAAATTATATATGAATACTAAGGTTATGTGGCTTCACTTCCATGAAGTAAAAGAATAGTGCAGCGTGTTCTTGATACTTCAAAACATTTTTAAACACAAGGTTTCTGACATTAGAAGGTGGGTGTAACACAGTTTTTACAGAACTTGTTCAGGGTGCAGGTTTTCTGAGTTGGCATAGTGCGTATTTAAAAACCAAAAACCCTCTGCATGGGAAACATTGGACACAAAGCGAAAGAAGACTATGGGCCAAGAAAGTGATGGAGAGGATGATACGAGGGCACACGGGGGACGTCAGAACGCCGAGCTTTGATTCGAATGATTAGTGGGTAGACCTAAAGCTAGCAGCCGTTGTCTCCACTGCACTCATTGAACGCGTTCAAATGTTAAACGCCTGGCATCCGACCTTTGTCCTTCTCATTCGAACGCGTTGGACGAGTACAGTGGAGGCAGCTAGCTTTGCGTCTACCCACTAATCCTTTCAATCAGAGAAGGGCGTTCTGACATCCCCACGCGCTCTCGTATCCTCCTCTCCCCCAGTTTTCCGGTGCATACTTTGATGCCTCAATCTTCAGAGCGCTAGAAATAACTATTCTTACTCTTATGAATGCTAGATGTATGCAAATACGGCAAATGAGTTTATTTTTATGGTCTCATTATTTTTTGAGACTGAAACAATTTGAGTATGGAGATTATTTTACAGGCAAAATATTTTGCAATTGGGCGTCCAATATTATGGTCTTCAATTATGCGGTGATGTATTGGCATTATCTTTGTTTGTGATTGTTTTTTAAATGTGAAAGTTGCATTAGTTACATTATTTTAAACATTAGGTCCCCCCATATTAAAGGGACCATGAAATGATTTTAAAATCTAATTTCATCCACCGCACGTCGTAAAAGGTGTGAAAAGAAACACAAAAACACAAAACTAGGGAGCCAAAAAAAATTATTTGCTATAGAACTTTTAAAAGAAAACTGGACTCTTTTGCGACTTCTTTCCTTCGAAAGCTCTGCCTTTTCACTACGATGCATCCGCAGAAATGGAGCACGTCAGCCGAATCCACGTCGCCTATTGGGTAAGAGCCTACCTCACCAGCACCGCGGTCGTAAACAATAAATAGCCGGCGAATGTTTCCTAAAAGTTTTGTTAAATAATATTCAGACCCACATTTTGTAGCATAATTAGAGATGTGTGGCGAAAATTGCCAAATTTGATAATGCTGAGAGCCAAGCGCCATCTATCGTGTGGTAAACGAAGCAACTACTGCGCGTGCGCAGTAGGGCAGGGCTGGCAGGGCCGACTTGAGAACGGTTATTTCCTTTGGTTTCCTTCCTCTCAAAACTCTGACTGACTGAACGTTTATTTTTCTACGTGTTCATCTCGCGCGTGCCGACTTCAAGCAGCAAGAAAAAAATGTACTTAAAACAGACCACGACGAACAAGAACGCTGGATCCACAAACACCCGAGAAGAGCGACAACAGCCGCGAATCGCGCTCCGACGAAGCTGTCGGAATATAGGCCTAGCAGGCACTCCGACTCGGCGCAGCGTTGCTTCGTCGCAAGACCGTCTGTCTGCCTGCGACCGGCTGGCGTGCTGAATGGAATATGCCCGCGCTACCCTTCTGGGGTACCCTTGTGGACCCTTCCCGTATAATAGTTTGATCGCTGACCTCAATTTTACGTTAAGAGGTGAGGTCAATCTCTTCCCCTTGTTTTCCGAGGCAGTGTTGACGAACACTCGTCGAAAAGGGACCCTCGTCGATTCTCTCTTCTTGTTTTGTGTGATATAGAGCTGAAATAAACGCTGTATGGATTACCTTCGTAACACGGTATGTACACTTTGTTATTGGTATGCCATTTTTATCCTGACAGACTGCACGTCACTGTCGAGATGTAACAGTTCGTGAGAGGTATACGTGCAATACCGGTCCAACCTTTCTTTGCCGAGTGTCGCGTCAGTATCGAGTTGCAATCGTAAAAGATCGGTCCCGAAGCGCTTACCAACAGCGCGAATACAGCACTTCCATCAAACGCGCGCGTCCGCTCCGAGTGTTAACAGGTATTTACGTGGCTCTTGCTGACACTCGTAGTTCAAACGTATCTTTTTTAACGTCGGCTCGCTCCTGCATCTCCGAGACCGCGAAAAACGCCGCGGCAATTTTTTTCCATCTACGTCGCTTTGCAAACGACTGACACTGGCCGCCTTTTGCCAACAATGACAGTTGGGTTGACTTCTGGAGTCTTCACCGGAAGACTCGCTGCACTTCCCAACAGGCATACCGGTGTATGGGACTAGTCCCATGCTGTCGCTGTAGCGCAACATATCTCGTTGAATTTCGCTCAGCTGCGATGCGGCGATGAGAGGCGCCGATTCAGAAAATACATCGGTGACATCGGCGCAGTAAAACCTACCGGCGCACCCAAACTCGTCGCCGCTAATGCTCCCATCTCCTACTGCCGAGAGAAGTTCCGGTTCCGGAAATAGCGTACGTCACGGCTTGCTTTGCGGTCAAGAAAAAGTCGATATTTCATTAATTTTTTGTGTAGAAGTTAATAAACCGAGACGAAAACGGATGCCTGTTCGGCATTCAGTGAACATTGACGGTTTAATGTAAAAGTTATCTGGAAAAAGTAAAAAAGTCATTTCATGGTCCCTTTAAGATACGCATAAAACGTAAGTCACATTTAAGTAGATAGACCCTTTTCCAACGTCTGCACCAACGCCTGTCTGCCATTGCTTGCTCGCATACTGTGAGCATATATTAAAAATGAGCGCCATGTCAGCATTTTGCGAGGACTAGTGTCCAGTCACGCACTTCATGAGCAAGCAATGGTGATCGCCAATGTTGCTTGATGGACTTTTGAAAAGGGACTATTGACTAAATAAATACTGTACCAACTATTTTATAAGGACATCGATGTGACTGTCTGTTTTGTTTAGATTACTTTCAGACGCCTGTCGGAGGTTCATCAGGGTTCGACCTACTGGCACAGCAGTGGAAGCTCGGCTCAAGGATATGCGCCACTACATGCGCGAGCTCCTTCAACCCTGAAGCCGAAGGTCAAATAAACAAGCCTGCGGGAGGAATGCATGTTCACAATTTCTCGAAGTTGAAGCATATTTCTCTGTGCATGCACTTTCTCTTAAGCTGCATAGGCTTTAGGAGGAAGAGCATTTTCCTGCTGAACTTCACTTTTTCCTTTTCTTGTTTCTAAAGCCTGTGAA